AGAGGTTCCAAACATTCCAACCTTTAATAGAGCCATTACAAGAATTAAAAAAAATCGCCAAAACAGAGAGGCCTCGAATGGAGATTCTCCCAATGACTCCATCTAGAATACCAATAATACCAAGATTACAACCATTACAACAATCTACTCCACAGAAATTAGATTTTGGTCTTTTAGCATCAGACTATTTAGGAAATTACCTCAGTAAAAGTAGTATGACAGACACTACATATGGTATTAGACGAGAAGCAAATAAATTTTTTATTGGAAATAAGGAAGTTGATATTGCCAATGATGATGTTACAATTGCAAATAAAACCTACAAGGGGACAAAAGGTTTGTGGCAATTGTTAACTTTAAAAGAACCTGAGGATTATACTCCGGCTGATTTGCAAAATTATAAAGAAATTTTGGAAGCTACAAATGGACATTTAAAGAGTTACAAAGATGGTGCACCAATTTCAAGTAATAGACATACTAAATATCTTAATATAATTAAACCTCTTTTTAAATCTGTTGGTGAAGGTTTGAGACAAGTGACTGGTAAGAAAATAGACTATATTTATTGGGATGATCCTAATGAGCTTGTAGATAGGTTAAGACTTCTTTGGCTAAGTCACCAAGCCGGTAACTCAGGAGTGGATAATGAAATAGATTCCATTATTGAGGAATTGAGAGAAAGTGGAATTATTTATTAAATAAAAATATGTTTATAGATAAATTTTATCGTTTATATAATCCATATAATAAGCCTGCAGAACCCAGGGCTAGTAGTGAACCTACTTTAAATTTACAAGACGATAGTTGGAATGGTTTAAACCGTAAACTTGGTAATGTTAAAGATGGGGAGTTTGTAGATGATGTATCAACTTTGGGACAGACATTAACTAGAAAAGGTGATGTCTTCTTACAAGGTAAAACTAAATATGAGTTTTTAGAATCCAAGAATAAAAATTGGAATGCTAAAAAACAGAAAATTACTAATGTGGAAAAGGGTGAAAGTTTAGATGATGTGCCCACTTTACAACAGACTTTAATACGAACAGCTGGTGGTACATTTGTACAAGACAATAATAATTATGAATTTTTAGAATCAGAGAATGGTATTTGGAATGCTAAGAAACGGAAAATTACTAATGTGGAAAAGGGTGAAAGTTTAGATGATGTGCCCACTTTACAACAGACTTTAATACGAAAAGAAGATGGTAAATTTGTACAAGACAATAATAATTATGAATTTTTAGAATCAGAGAATAGTATTTGGAATGCTAAGAAACAGAAACTTAGCAATTTGATGGAAGGTACAGATAGTAAAGATGCTGTGAATGTTTCACAAGTTCCAAAAATGGAAGCAGGCTATTGGAATTTTAATAATAAAAGGTTAGTACGTGTTAAACCTGCCATTGATGACACTGACTGTGTTACAAAAGAACAGACTATAACTTATAATAAAAAACTATATTGTTGGGATGCCAAAAATCAATTTATAAGAAATCTACCAGAGGGGAAACATTTGGATGATATTTGTCTAATGTCACAAGCTATGCGTTATGATGGATCAAAATTTGTATATGGAGAGAAAAATTTTAATTTGATGGAATACAATCCTGATTTATTAGTTGCTGACCCCACATCCTTAAGTGGATTTAAGTATATAGATAATAGACCATATATACCAGAAAACTACGTATTTAAAAGAATGGAAGATAATCTATTGATTGGGGCTAATGGTGATGTATTTAGAGTTACAGGAAAGGATGATGTTATAAAAAATGAATGAAATTGCATACGAACTTCATAAGCCTGCAAGAAAGAATTTCATTAGAAGGTCTTTTAAAGTATTGGGTATAAACGAAACCATACAAATAGATTTAATTGATATGCAAAACTATGCTAGAGAAAATTCTGGCAATAAATATATTTTAACTTTAATAGATACATTTTCTAAAAAAGCTTATGCTGCTCCACTAAAGAATAAGACAGGGTTAGTGGTTACAGAAGCCATTAAAACCATTCTACCAAAGGGGGTTAAAAACATTCAATCTGACAATGGAAAAGAATTTTTTAATAAACATTTTAGCAAACTAATGAAAAACTTAAATATTAATCACTATCACACATTTTCTACAACTAAGGCTGCAATTGTGGAGAGGTTTCAGAGAACTTTAAAGAATTGGTTATATAGGGAATTTAGTGCTCAAGGTAGTTATAAATGGTTGGATTTACTTCCAAAGTTAATTCGAAAATATAATAATAAGGTGCATAGATCTATAGGTATGAAGCCTAACCAAGTGAATATTAAGAATAGTAAATATGTGCATGAGAGGTTGACTTCTAAAGTAGTGCAAGTTAAAAAGCCAAGATATAAGGTGGGTGATAGTGTGAGGATTTCCAAGTATAAACATGTTTTTAGTAAAGGATATACTCCAAATTGGACAGGTGAGCTATTTACAATAGCAGAAGTTAAAAATACAAAGCCTGTGACTTATATCTTGAAAGATGAAAATGGTAATATAATCAGGGGAGGCTTCTATACAGAGGAGTTGTTAAAGACCAAGTATAAAGACATGTATTTAGTAGAGAAGGTAATTAGGAGGAAGGGTGATTTATTGTATGTCAAATGGCTTGGGTTCCCAAGTAGCCAGAACTCGTGGATTTCCAATAAGGATGTCCAAGGGAGCATGCCATGAGCCGGGAGCGCGCACGAGTTCGCGTACAAACCTCGCACTGTCAAGTTGATGATTTTGAGAATATACTTGTGAATGGATGTGGATTTGAAATTTTAATAGTGTTATACAATGGTATTGAACATTAATATAGGCTTGTATTGGCCGAGAGCTGGATTTTTAAAAAAGTGGTCAAAAAAAGCTCACCATGTTATTCTTATGGGGAAAACGTGCCTAAAGTGAGGTCATATTGTCCTATTGTATCTACTATTATATACACACCTGTAGGTATATATAGTCAATAGTACTGGCTAGAATAGTAGGTAGTGGATATGGTGCTGGTATCAGAATCTACCCTGAAAAAAGCTCTAGAATCAGAAAATTTCCCATAAAATTGTGAAATAACATTGAATTGACTCTAACTCCTTAATTTGGATGTTTAAAATCTAATGGCTTATTTAAGTTTATCATTGTATAACGATGTAGATACAAACTTAGAGTTTCATGATCTTATAACCATAGATAAAACCAACTCCTCGGTGTAACCTATGTATCGTAAAAATAACCAATGGTTACAGTCAGCCGGTACTGGTGAATATATCTTAATATATATTGTTTGGAATTCGTTAGATGTTTTGGGATGAATTTAGTTTATAGCTTGAAAACTGAACTGTAGAGCAGGTAATATAAACATTAAATTTGTTTTGTATGGCATTTATATTATGAAAATTGTGTAAATTAATTAACTAATAAAGCTGTATATTCTTTGTATACAAGGTATCAATGTTGCAACAATACCAAAACTTGTAATTTTAAGAATGTAGGAGAAGTAGTTGCTCCGCATACTTTATAAAAGTATAAAACGATTTTTATTTTCTCTTATAGAACAGAGTATATTATTTACCTCTCCTGAATCATAAAAATAAACTTGACTGTAGCGACTGTAATTCCGTAAGTTCTGTGGTGAACTTTACGATGGAATCCATACAAAAAGGTCCTTCTCTTGTATTTGGTCTAATGTCACCACTAACACTTACCTTAGCAAATGAGTTGTCGAAGCTTCTTATTTTTGACTTGACATGTCTTGATTGTTGGTGACTTCCAACTTTGCGTTACTGGAAGTCGCAAGATAATGTGCTGATAATGGGCATTTACTATTTTGTGTTGGTCACAACCATTAACCTTGTGTAAGTTTATGGAACTGGCAACGTAACCTTGCCGTTATGACAGAAAGAAGTAAATAATCCATTTGATTTTTTTCTCAATTGAAGTAGAGCGAGTAACAACATGACATACAATGATTGAGCCTAGTACTATAATTATCTCGGGTTAATATTAGTTTGACCTGTTACATTAGTATTATTAGGTCGTCTTATGTATTACCAAATCCCTTACTGAGCCCCCTCTTCCTCTATTTTCAATTTTTACATTTTCATATCCTGTCAATATCCATTCAGGTTAGGCTAAATCAGCTTAAAGTAAATGGAAAATAAAAGGTCTAAGAGCCATAGTTTGAAGGTTAAGGTTAAAAGGGTTTTGTCACGTCCTTTGATAAAAAAAAAACAACTGAATAATCTTCTCTTCATCTAAATTAATATATCACAAAAAATGATTACATCGTTGTAAACGCAACTCCAACAAATAATAAAATTCAAATCATAAACAAATTTACTAAATACTTCCATAATAAACCATTTACTCCATTCCCTATAAAATAAAACACGATAATTCAAAATTCACATAATTAGTTTTGTTTGAGCTAAAATTTAAACAAATCATCTGATTAGTGCTTTATGTCAATCAAACATAAACAAAACAGAAGGAATTTAAACTCAATTTATTCCCTCATCTATATAACCTTAAAGGAGAAAATCCAACTTTAATTGAAGATCCTACCCAAACCAATAAAGATTAAAAAAATGAAATCCACTTTACAAAACTACATACGGTATCAGGGCCGTTTCGGTCTGGGCCAAAATCGGTCTAAAAGTGAAGGAGGAATTCTATTCACAAAATTCGGCTTAGCGTATTGTATAGATGGGGCGAAATAGAGTACAGTTTGTAACCAATAAAAATTGTTTCATTACTTATATTGATTACAGTCATAGTAATGTTTGTGAAGAAATTAAATTATGCAACACCATCCAAATTACTCACTATCTGATACAGCATCTCTGATTTATAGGCATTTATCAAACTCACTTTTGTTTAAGGGATATTAGGTTAAAGTATAAATAACATATTAAACAATCAGTTTTATTGCACAATAGTTGAAAACATAAAATATTACAAAACTCCATAAGATTCAAGCTTATTCATATATATTAGTATTATTAAAATCCACACTTTATTTCTAAAAAACATTTTTAAAATCGACCAAAACATTACATTTAGGCCTAGTAAATGTAAACCAATGCTTAGCAATAATTTGTTGTTTTCAAATTATTTTTTCTTATTAAAAATTAAAATGATAATGTTATTTTAGTGCACATGCTACATGCATGGCTTTTCTGCCAGAAAAGTAGTAAATTTATTTTATTTTTTACATTTAAAATTATTTTATTTTAAGTGTTACACAACAATATTGGAATTTTATTTTTTTAAACTTTTTTACTACGGAACCATCCGTAAATTAAAATTAAACAGTAAAATCAATTAAAATTTTGCAATCCAGCATTTTTGATAGGAATTTTCAAAACCAGATTAACTAACGAAGGGGAGGAACAATATTTAGGTTATTGTTCTATGCTAGGGTAATAATCCAAGTGGCCTGTTGTGTGGATTTTTAAGGGTAATAATCCAAGTGGCCTGTTGTGTGGATTTTTGCTGTTGACAATGAATAAGCTAGCAATGACTAAACTGCACGTAACGTGCATTTTGCATGCTCCTCTTGTACTTTGAGGTTTTTGCTAGAGGTCGATGATTTATCATGAACAATGCCTGATGATGACTGAACCAACAGCCATGGCAGAAGTAGTTGTAGCAGCACAGCTCCTTGCAGAATAATGGTCCCGGGCGGAGATCACATTTGGAGCAGATGGCATCTTCCAGGTACGGGTCAACTTGTACTTTCTTGCTGAACAGATTCGACTTTATTTCGATGTACGCAGCCATGACTGCTTGCATGTAGGAATACTTGTTGTTAAATGTGACTCGGGCAGAGCCAATGGGATATTTGAATTTGTCTGTGTCGATGCCGACGTAGCTCACACCGTTGAAAAGGTCGTTCATAATTATGAACAAACCTTCTGCAGTCAAGGCTCCGTGAAGTCCTCCAACAAAAACTGTGAGATTGGGGTCCTGCTTCCGTGTCGGTTCCATCACGAAGTTGGAGTCGGTTATTCGCCAAGGAATTATTTGAACAACCTTATGTTTCAGAGACCTTGTGATAAGTCTGTAATAGTATTTCAAGTTGTTGTCACTGGTATCACGGACGCAGTTGTTGAGCAGTACTTTTACATTAACCTCATCTTCGAAGATTATGTAAACATACCCCTTGGGTTGAGTGACAGTGTCTTTAACAGGCCATTCTACGAGAATTCTTCCGTAAGGTGAGAAGAAGATGGTTAAGTCTTCTGCGGTCATGTCCCATGGAACACCGCCTACAAAGATCTTGCAGGAGTAAGTCGGGTTGATTTCAAAGCGCCGAGGGGGGAGCTCTCCACCCCAAGAGGCGGTACCAGATGGTCCGTCAGGAGGAACAGAAGCAGTCGATAAAGAGGAATACAATTGACGAGGTGGAAACATAGAGGCGTTCCTTGCAGTGTTCGGCCCAGCTAAGTCTCTCATGGACCTCAAATCGGCCATTTCTTTTATTTGAGCAGCTCCCAGCCTAATAGGTGGTGATGAATTCAAAAAACTTGCCAGATCAGTGATGTCCACTCCACTGAAAGTACTTCCCGTAGAGTTCGAGCTGGTAGGGGAAATCACTTGACTACCCCAGATGTTGCGGCTGATGGTGGATCTAGGGGAGTTCACGGAATTGGAAGAATTAGAGCTTGAAGGCAAACTTGAAGGCATGCCAAAGCTCCCGGTGTTGATATGAAGCAAAGAAAATCTAGGGAGCGGATCGGTACGGACGTTTCTGCTAACAGGTGAGTTGAAGTTCAAGTCTTGACCAAACGTTGGACGATCTAAGCCCCGAAGCATTGCGGCGTTCGACAACAGCTGCGGTGCGTTCGAAGAGTTCACTCTAGGAAGTTGCGGCATTGGTGCCCAATAAGAGTTTGAGGCCTGTAATGACATCACTAAAATAAAATAAAAATAAAAGTTAAAAACTATCTTGTTTAAAATATTAAAAGTTCAAATGAAAATATAAGTTAAAATTAAGTGCATCTTGTTTATGAAAATACACCTGTCTGAAAAAAACATATGGCAAAACAAAACAGAATAGAAGAAAGCAGTTTTAGAGGAATTTCTGGACTACGGATAACTGTTAGGAAATACGCAACAAAACTAAAGGCATAGGCCGAAATAAAAAGTTAAAGTTAAAAAAATTGAAACTGCCAAGCATCTAGTCGTGTCACCTTATAGCGAATTTCCCTATAGGGAAATAGCTGTTACCGTTAATGCACCAAGAGCGGAAGCGGGGCGATAGCGGGCCCGCTCCCGCTGTGAAATTTTTTTCAAAGTTGTGCAAGCGATAGCGGTTGCGGTTGGTCAACGCAGAATGGAAGGGGGACACTGTCTTGCCAACTCAAACTCTGCCAAATAGTTAACTCAACTATTAGTCCTAAGTGCACGTGCGCATGTGTCAAGTTGGCAACCCTGGCAGCAATCGCTACCGCTCCCGCCATGTAGGCCTATAAACAGTCTCATTTGACTAAATGTAGTTGAAAACCGCTCTATCCCAAGCAACCGCTGCGATTTCTAACTACACAGCGGTCGAATTAGAAACCGCAGCGGGAGGTCAACCACTACCGCTATCACTCTTCGTGCATAATCAGCCCCATTTAACTCAATGGTGTTGACAATCGCTCCCGCTGTCGCTACCGCTCCCGCTCTAGGTGCATAAACTGGGCCTTACTGTGCGATCTAAGGCTCCGTTTATGCACCAAGAGCGGGAGCGGTAGCGACCATTATTATTGAACCATAGGAACGGGGTGTCATGAAGGGATTTACGAGATAAAAATTGTTTTCTAATTTTTCACCGTCAAAACATAAAAAGTTTCAATTTTTCACTAAACTATTTTAAAGAGCTTAAAAACAAATGATTTAATATTTTGAAGTAGGTACCCTTTTACGGTTATTGTTTACGGAGATAATTTAAGAAATTCTAAATTTATAATGTCCACGTTATTCTTATGGAGTAATTTGTTTTAGCTTTATTGTTTATAGGTACATTTATATCAAACTTGGCAATTTTTAGCTCGCTTTCTTGTCTGTTCGGTACAAATTTTAGCAATCGATTTAAACCAACTTCCCGATGAGCTAGAGACTTGAAACTTGAAACATAGCTCAAAAATGGATCACAATGCAATATTAAAAAATTTTTATTAAATACTAAGCTATTAATTTTTAACTAAAACACACTTTACTTCTGTGGCAGCAAACCTAGGTAAGTAGAAATTGTTAAACCAGCCTCCTCTAATCTACTTAATCTACTATATTTAAGCATTGTTAAGTTAGAAGATTTAGGCCAAATTGAAAATCCAATCAGGTAAATAGAAATTCGCTTAGCCTGCAAAATTTGCTTTGGCGGGTGTATTTTGGTTTGGTTGTGATTTATTTTTGTACGTAGTGCAAAATTTATGGTTGTAGCCGCGAGTACAAGCTAGATGTTAAGGCCCCTATTACACGAGGTAGCCTGGCGACGTCGCCAGCGACCAAACTGGCTACTCAGCTTGTCATGGGGCATTGATTCTTATGGATGTTATTACACGAGGGTAGCCAGCGACGCAGCCACACTTTGGCGACCGACTGGCTACCGAGCCCCGTCGCCACTGTGGTAGCCACTGGCTACCCATATTGGCGACGCTGCGTTGTAGCATATGGAGCTTATTACACTAGGTCGCCAGTATCACGTCGCCACTCGGTTAGTTCATATCACGGGGGTACTTGCACACTGTTTTGTTGCGTTCTGTTGTGTTGTGAGTGTGTGAATTGTTCACTTCAGTTGATAAAATGTCTATATCATCCTTTATGACTCGAAGAAACTGGATTGTGACATACGAAAATAATTGAAACATTTTTTATTGTCCGCACAGAGCCCATCAAAAAGGGTGTAATATAACCCTTTTGATTCTCTTGCACTAAGCATTGGATGAACGTACATTTTTCTCTTCCTTTGCCTCCTTTTCTTCAGAAGTAACAGAAGGAGAAGATACTTATAATCACTCATTATTCACTGTAAACACCGCTCATAACAAGTACAAGTGCAAGACAAGCACTCACAACAACGGCGCCACGGCGGTAAAATTCTGGCTACTCAACTGGTTATAGGTTTGGTGGCCAGTGCGTCGCCAGCTACTGCCGCTGGCGACGTCGCCAGGCTACCTCGTGTAATAGGGGCCTAATTATTTTTACGACTTCCCCTATGGGGGAGCTTAGCTCAAGGTTATTAAAACACTTTTTTTTAATAACCTTGAGCTTAGCCTACGGTAAGCTATTACCGTATGTGGCAAACCTAGACCAGAAACCGATTAATTTTTCATTGTGATGTACCACAGCCACCTCTACCCACTGGACAAACATAATATTTGTTCAAATAACCATTTCTCATCATAAAGATCAGTAGTTTCTTCACTAGAAGGTAGGAAACTCTTAAAAAATATTAGTTTACTCCATAGTTGGACACTTTTAAGGAGATTGCCGCCAATCTTTTACGCCTGCGGCTGTTAGGCTACGTAAGGTTAGGTTAGTTTAAGTACTGTAACGTAACTAAAAAGTATGCTTTAACTTCGTCAATCAGATAAAAAGTCGTTACTGTTGTTACGGCCGTTCCAATTAGTTCAACCAAATTATATCCAGATAAAGACAAGGAACAAATCTAGTAGCTACAAAGCAACAGAATGTGCCAATGAGGTTTGGATCAGAAATTAAATTAAATCCCAATATCGTAAGAAATACAGGCTATAAGTAAATATGGAACTAGCAAAAAAGGTGTTCACGGGATCATTTTAGATATGATGCCGACAATTCAAGGTACGAATTGTGGATATTTATAGGCATGCACTGTGGATGCGATACTCCCTGGTGTGGATTAACGTCCGCACGAGTGAGTACTACGACTATCCGCAGTACTATCCTGATACTTAGACCAATTCGTATATACCAAGGCAAAAATGTGGTTCGTATTCCACTATAAACTACTGTAGGTCCTTTAGGTTGCCATTACCTGTATGGGCTATTAATTAACAGCTGTGTCTTAAGGAATGTCAGCCTTATAGTCACTAACAAGACTACAAGATCGCTCCACTCTTCTCCATTCATACTTGGCTTAAAATACCTACTACATATGGTCGCCATTTAATAACAAAGTATTAAAGGAAATACGTTATGTCATGTCAAGCGATCTGTTACTTGAGTGAGTAAAAGGAAAAGGTTAACTCAGAGCAAAAAAGTAATAGGATACGCAATGATCATAAATCAAAAGAAGAGTTCATCTATATAATTAATACGCTACATGAAACTTAGTCAGGTTGAACTCCTCCGCCATTCTTAACCGATTTTATCCATTGACGTCTCATTGAAAAAAGGGCGTGTCGCGTAGATTTGCAAACTGGCTTTGCCCCAGTGGCTATTAAAGTTCCCATGTTATCCTTATGAAGAACATAATTTTTTACATTTTGATCAGATGTATAATTTAATTGCTGTTATTTATTTTTCAATTCAATGAAACACATTTACCGATTTTGTTGAAATTAAACTATTTACTATTTTAATTTACATTCGTGAATATTACAATTTAAAAAAATCTAGAAAGCCTGGACAGTTTGATGTTTTTACCAAATAAGAAAAGTGAATTGATATAGTAGGCCTATTTCTGTATTTTTTGAGCAATCATTGAAAGAACCGGGTGTTAACCATGGAAACATAGGAAAGTCATAGAACGACACCAAGTGGAAGAAATAGAGATTTCTTTTTTAAATTACTATCGTTATCAACCTATATAATGAAGAACACCTATCATATGAAGATTCCCACACACAATGAACAAGGATGCTAGCCGAAGTACTACTATTTTGTAGGAAACATAGACTTAAACTTTACGATGATTGGCAAAGGAAAACCCTCTAAGGCTGAATTAATCTGGTACGGCAAGGACTTTAATAGGTGTTCATAAAAGTCAAGTCATTTTAAAAGAATATGATTACATCCAAGAAAGCTTAATAAAATTTATATTGAAGGATTCGCTTTATTCACATTATTATTCACATTTAAGGGAAACAAAAAACCATCTGAACAACACTAGGCCTTTCAATTCTGATATTTTTTTCAGGTAAATATAATTTACGTTATAACAGCAACTCAAGTAACCAACCATATTAATGCCAATTGAAGCAAATAAAATTGTGACAGAGAGGTTATGCAGAACATCAGTCAGTTTAAGTAATGCAAAATGTTATCGCTATAAGAAAATGACTGAAATTTGTAAACGTACTGGTGACAATGGGTGGCACCATGCAGACTATATCATTGACGAAGATCAAAATGGACAACCTAATGCGGCTATAAGTGGGAAACATTTGTAGAATACTCTAAAAACCAGATCAGCTTTTGAAAATTGATAAAATATTTACAAAAAATTTTGATTATATGGAACTGTTAGGTACGTAATCTATGTGTTGAGTCTTTTAAACTCATCGGAAATTTTGGCTTTTATTCGTATTTTAATTACTACTTAACTTCTTTGCAATTGCTCGATTTCGAGCAACATGTACACTAGTTTTATTTTATTTAAAAACTGAACCGTGGATAATAAATTAGACTAATATCACCGTTTGATGAGATTCAATTTACAGTTCAAGAGAATAAAAGTTCAAGTTAGTGATTTTATTAACGCGGAGTGTGCTATCCTGCGATCCTAGACAAAGATGGGTGCAGTTAAGCCCGGGTGTAAGTCTCAAACAACCTCGATAAAAAAAACTTAAGATATAAAAACTAAAGATAATAGGTCATCTTAGTCAACAAATGTGTACAAAATATGGTGCGTTGGCTTTGAAGAGCATAAAAGAAAAGTGCCCAATGATACGATAATATTTAAAGCA